TCAAAATTTTATAACTAGATTTAACAAATGGAGTCATCACCAATCTTTTTTATTTTGGTGTGATTAGTCACGTAAAAAATCTATCTTTTTAAAAAGCTTCTAAGCTTGATTAAGTGTCCTTAAAAAAAAAGTTCGGATCTACTAACCAAAACGAGATTCGAGAGTTCGGTTATATGTGAGAAAGGTTATAAACATCCCCACATGCCCATCCAAAGATGGTACTATTTTATTTTAAATTTATCCTATGGTCTTAGTTCTAATGGTTTTAATTTTTATGTTCAATATTGAAAATAATTCATAAGATTCTTTCATCAATCTAGTAAAATTCTTAAAAATATTTTCTCACCTCAAGAGTATTCAAAAATTCTATTTGATTTCTTGAAGAGGCTTCATCGTCGAAAAAATTTTTATTGATTTTTTTATTGAAAATATATCTAATTATTTCATCATTTTGGTCAAATTAGAATATTTTTTCTTTTTGAATTTTTAAATTTTCTACCATTTGGGCCTATTTAGAAAAATTTTTTATATTTTTTTATCTCTAAATTTTTTACTATTTAGGTCAATTTAAATTTTTTTTTAATTTTTAAATTTTTCATCATTTGAGCCTATTTAGAAATTTTTTTATTTTTTTGGAAAGAAAATAATATGATAATTATTTTTATTAAAATTTTATTTAAATTATTCCACAATTTATGATAAATTTAAAGAAAATTTCTCACTTAAAAATTTTTTAGAAATTTATTTTTTGAAATTTTTAAGAATCTCATCCTTGAAAAATTAGCAAATATTTTTAGCCAAATTTGGAAAAGAATATAATTATTTGTATTGAAATTTCATCTAAATTATTTCACAATTTGGTTCAAATTTAGAGAAAATTTCTCACCTAGAGATTTCTTAAGAATTTACCATTTGAAATTTCTAAGAATCTCATCCTTGGGTAATTTGTATTTAATTCCAAAATTTTTATATTTTTATATTTTTATATTTTTTTTTATTCTGAAAATAAATATTAATTATTGTTGTTAAAACTTTATCTAAATTATTTCATAATTTGAGATAAATTTAGATAAAATTTCTCACTTAAGAATTTTATAAAAATTTACCATTTGAAATTTCTGTAAATTCCATCATTAAATAATTAATATTTATTTTCAAATTTTATTTTATCTTTTTTATTTTTTATTTTTCCTAAATTTAATCATACAAAAAAATTAAAAAATAAACACATAAAAAATACAAAAAAAAAAAACGGCTCGACTTGCAGCTGGAGAATAGCTCGGCTTCATAAATAAAAAACACCTTAGTGGTTTGACTTAGGGCTAGGTCAACTTAGCTCAACTGCATAAATTAGTTGGGATACGGGTCACAGAAATGGGTTGACATACAAGTTGGGTCACCCACTAGAAAATGAGTGAATCTTGGGATTTATTATACTTAAAAAAGACATCGTTTTAGCAACATATATAAGGCTAAAATCTCAACCTTTGCAGCAAATTCCATTTTTCCTTTTTCTCTCTTCCCCTTTCTTTTCTCTCTCTTTCTCTCTAGAATCGAATGAATTTCGGTTGAATCTCTGTCGGATTCTGAAAAACATCGTTGAAATTTGGGTCGGTTCGTCAAAAGTTCATCAAAAAATTCAATCGGTGCTGGAATCTGTATCGAATTCTAGAAAACTTGCCAAAAAGTTCAACTGGCTCCGAAAAATTCATCGAAAAATTTAACCACCGTCAAAAAATTTTACCGAATATGAAAATTTTTTAAAAGATTTTCAAAATTTTTTTTTTAAAAAACTCTAAAATTTTTTCTTTCTGTTTGCTGTGTTTTTGTGTTTCTTTTGTGATTGGCTCCTGTCATTCTCAACATTTTTTTTACTTTTATTTTTTTATGATTTTTTGTGTCTTTGAGGCTTGACCCATGAATCTATTTATAGGGCTTTAAAACCATAGACTCCAAAGCTGAATGAAAATCTCAATTTTCTTTGAACTTTTAATATCATTCAACCTCTTTCAATTTGTTTCAAACTCCTCAACCTAGTTTTACTCCAATTCAACCGCCTTTTTTTTTCATTTTTTCATTTTTATTATTTTTTAATTAATTAACAAAACCAAAGAGTAGACCCCGAACAGATTGGATGTCTATATTTGCATTGTGATCTAATAAAAAAATTACTCAAAAAAATTACCAATTTTGAATTTAATAATAAGGAAATAACAATTACTATATTACCCTTATTAATCAAATAAAAAGATAAAATCTCTTTATTTCTTCTAACCTCTCCCACATGAAATTTTTCTTTCTTTTAAAAACATAAACCTTTTATGTCTGTAAATCTTTTTTACCTTTTATCCATCCTTCTCTTTTACTATTCATCCAATTCATTTATTTTGCATCCTAATTTCCTTCATTTTTCAACTGTTCTGTCCCTACAAAATTGAAATTGAAGGGTTTAGGGTTTCCATTTTCATCAAATTTTCTCTATTTGAATTGCATTAGCTTATTAGTGTCTCTTTCCTCTGTCTTTTACATCACACTTCATTTTGTGCATTTGATCTTGTTGTTAAATTATTATTTATGTTGATTCTGCAAATGGATTTTAAAAATATCATGTTTTTAATTGTTTTATGTCGGATTATTATCCATACTATTTTCATTGATTTTAGATATCTTGTTTAAGGTAGTCTTTTTTATATATTGTTTTCAATGGTGTTTTTATGTTTTTAATAGCCTTTTAAAAGAAAAAAATTACAAATAAAAAAAGGAAAAAAATAATAGAAAGGCCAGTGTACATATTCAACTTGGTTCTTTGACAAAGTTGTTCTTAGTTAATTAAATGAATAAATAAAAGATAGATATTCATACTTTATAAGGTGTAGATTTTAGAGACAAGTGATATGTGCTTTTTGCGATAAGCACATATTGCATTAAGATCTGTATATTATGTTTTTTGCATATATACATTTAGATAGTATGATATGTATATATTTTCTTTTGGTTCCCGACAACCAACCTCACCATCCTAAACATACCAACAACTCAATTCACAAAAACCCACTCCTACTTCCAGCCAAGACCCCATACCCAAATCCCATCATCAATACACCAAATTACCATAACACCCTTTAGGCTCTACTATAAAAAACCTTTCCACCACCATGAATCGCCTAACCTATCAATAAAAAAATCATCATTCATAACTTTTACAACCATAACCAACTAACTCAAAACATCCTTTAATACCCTAACATAAATAAACCTAACACCATCATTACATTGCAAAAAAAAAATAAAAAATTAAAGCCACAATAACAACAGTAAAAAATATTAAACAACAACAAAAATATCAAAATCCAAATGTGGGAATAGGTTATAAGTTTAGGTTTATTTTTTATTTTGAAAAAGTTTCATTTTAGGAGGGTTCTTTTCAAGTTTAGGTTAAAAAATTGAAAAAAAATGCCACGTCAGTGACGATAAGGATGACAGTTGAAAATGTACTATGAGTTTAGGAAAATCAAAATTGTAGAAAGGAAAAGGAGGAAAAAAAGAGTAACATATCTAAGTTTCATACGGTTTGGACAATGGCAAAAGGAAATTTTTAACAGTTTTAAGTTTTGGGTTTCACTCTCAAATCTACAATTTTGAAGGTCGATTTTGAAAATTTTGATCTTGGAATGGTGATCAAGAAGTTAAGGAGAGCTTGTGGTGAAAATTTGGGGATGAGTGATGTTGGACGACGATGCCAACGATTAAAAATCGCCATAAAAGAAAGGCTTTATTTTTTTTTTGGGTGAAAACAGCGAAATGAGTAGGCAAAAAATGTTGGTTTTAATTATGGTTTTAAGAAAATAAAAAATATATAAATTATAAAAAAAAAACTCGTCACCCATTTTCAACTGACTCAACTCAGACTGAGCTTGACCCAAAAGTCCATCAGATTTGGCCAAACCTCTTGCTCTGATCCACCTAGAGTTTAACCTCAAGAAATTTATTTGGTGTAATCTCCTCTCATTTTATTTTACTTTGTTATCATACATTTTTAATTTTTATTTACTATCAAATATTTTTTAAAATAAATTTGTTGTGGATGACTAAGAAAAGAGGGTTTTAGAAATAAAAATAGAATAATATTTTCATGTAAAAATACGATTTTAAAAAACCTACCTAAATATTGAAGATAATTCAAATAATTATTTTTGCAAAAGAATATTGCCTTAGTTTTAGAAAATATTTATGTGAATTGCTGAAGTGAAAGATCAAGTTTTTAATTTTACATAGATATTAAGCAGTTAGAAAATATAAATGAAAATATTTCTAATACCAAAAATATCATTTTCATCCTAAATAAAACCTATTTAGAAAAAAATATAATTACATGCATCATTTAATTCATTTCATATTGTCATATATACATTTTATGTATTAATAATAAATATGAAATGGTAAAATAACAATTACAAAAAAATTTCTTTTACTAAGAATAGAATACAAATTTTAAAAAAATATTTTTGAAGATCCTGGCTTGATATTAAAGAAAATTTAATTCATTATTTATAGTAAGGAATATCATTTTTATTTTTATCAAAATTAGTTATAAAAATTTTATATCCCTCTCTTTAAATAAAAATTTAAAATAATTTAAAATAATTATTATCTTATACTATCAATAATTTTATATATCAAACATTCCCTATTACGGATGCACGGCACAATTGCGACCCAAAAGTGCCCCAATGGCACCATGTCGTGGCTTCATTTGGATCCAAATGGGTCCGAGTCAATATGCAACCCATGTTTAGATGGAAAGTTTTAGGGAAAAAAATGTAATTAACTAATTCACCTTTTATAGTGGCACTTAGGCACCAAGTGGTTGCGGTGAATGGCCTAGCCTGGTCTCGTCTGGTCTACTTTGGCTAGCATCCCGGTTCCAATATCACAACTGTTCAATAAAATAAAGCCTTTGCTCAAAGATCTCAATCTTCACTGTCAATTCTTTCATAGTTTTACAGTATTTTTCGTAGAGCAGCCAAACACCAGCGCCTGCACTTAACAAGGACAAAAGTCACTGGTTTTACAGTACCTTTACGAGGGAACGCCAATTCTGGCCCCGAAAGAGTGACATCCGTTGTCTGGGAACAGAATTAAAATGTTTTACAACATTAATTCATTTCCAGCTGAGCCAGCTGAAACTAATATATTAACAAAGGCGCACCAAGAAGAAAACAATAGCTTAAAAACCAAGGAAGTTTCTCTTGTTTCAATTAATTACTTAAATTCTATTTGTTTGGTGTTTTTACTATTTTCATTTTTATTTCCAAAAAAAAAAAAAAAAAACAGAAAAGAAAACGATTCGCGCCTTTGGATACAAAACCAAACAATAAAATATTATAATGAAGCAATTTCGGGTATGCAATGATAGTCTTTAAATCCAGCTTCATAGTATTCACATAAAAATCCATCAAATACCTAAGTTTTTTCTCAGAACAAGTTAAACACACAGGATCTTTCCTAAAATTATTCAACATTTCCTCCTTACTCCATCCCAAACTCATAAAAGCCTCCACTTTTTTCGTCCAATTCGACTTGCTCATCGAACAAATCACCCTAAGAGCATGTATAAACCTAAGCTGTTTTGGTTCAAGACCTATTTCTTTAACAGTTTTAACCGCGTAAACCATTCTGTCATGGCTTTCCAAGAGAACTCTAGGCTGCAATACCAACAATTTCGATATCCTACTAGCAGAAATCCCTTCACTAATCAGCAAATCAACATTTGGTTGTAAAATGGTATTCAAGTTTAAAGTCAAAATCCACGAAGCACGTTTAATAGTAACCAACAGTTCCTCGCCATTCAGAAAACGGGATAAAAACTCAAAAGATGACTTGATATGAGAATCCAAGCTTCGAAAAAGAATGTAAGGATTCGACACAACAAGTTCAGGCAAAAGCTTACCCATAAAACCCTTTTGGATGAAATATTCAAGCTTGGGCTTGAGCTTAGTGTTAACTCTGCAATTGAGGATTTTAGGGTGTTTTTGAACCAATATGGCGATTTGGGCATTCTCGAATCCATAAGATTTCAAACAGTTGAGGACGGACGCGGATTTTGGAGAGCTTTTTGGGGAGTGTGAAAGAGCGGAATTTAAAGGTGGCGGTTTTGAAGCAGAAGAAGGGGTTAGGTTGGTTTGAATGAAGCGTTTTTGGATTAGAGAAAGCAGATTTCTCACGGGTATTTTAGCCATTTTTGGCTGAGTTTAAACAGCCGAAGAAGGAACTCTCCCCAAATCACAAGAAATCGAATCAAGGGTTTTTGTCAAATTGGAAAAACCAACCCTCGTAACCCGACTAATTTCAAAACCCGACCCAATGTTATTTACCCACAATAATCAGCAACTTAAATAGTATTTTTATTGAAAAAAGTTTGGCTAAATGCATAATTTAAGGTTAAACGTTTTATTAGTTACTCAATTTATGATTAAACAATTTATTTTGTACAAATGAGACTTAAACGTTATTAATTTGTAATAATATAATATTTTTTTAAATGAAAAATAGGTAGTGAGACTTGCATGTCATTAAATTAAAAAATATTAATAAATAAAAATTACATGTATTTTTTAATTTTTAAAAATATTTTGCTTCTTTTTTATTTTTTACTCATATTCTCTCTTTTCAAACATATATCTTTTTTAAAATTTTTCTTAATCCTAAAATTTTAAAAATTTTAAAAATTTCTTAATCATAACATTCTTCATTAGTTAAGTTAGGTCAAGATTTCTACTTAACCAAATAAATGTCCATTTTATATGTTTCAAACACAATTTGAAAATATGAGTATATTAATGGAGATTGCCATTTGCAAAGCAAAGAATAAAATGGGGTTAACCAAAGACGAGCCAGACAAGTAAGATAACAAGCAAAGAAAAGAGACCAATAACAGTGATAATGGTAGATTGAGAGAGAGATGCGGCAAATCCCAGTTGTAAATCTTTGGGCAATCCCTTTTCTACTTTGTTTTTATATTTTAAAAACTCATTCTTTGAAATATATGTAAACAATGAAGTGGTTCTTTCAAATTTGTGAAAGTTGCTGAAAACTAAAGTGAGAAGTTATTTTTTGAAACACGGGTTGTTATTCATCTGGAGGTAAGAGAAATAAACAGAGGAAAAATCAAGCAACCAACTTAATAACAATAACTTCAAAAAGAAAGAGAAAGCTCCATCCTTCTTCAAATTCAGTTTCATGTCATTAAAGGGGACTTAGGTCTTAAGGGATAGTCAAGAAGAAGGGGAACAACATATCTTTAGGTGATGAGCATCAGAGAGACGAAAAAAAGAGAAAAAAAATCATAACTTTGATCTCGAATCCACAAAAATCTAGCAAGTCTTTAAGAAAACCAACTAGATAATGTTAAAAAGAAGACTAAGATGAACTTACTAGCAAATTTTGGAGGCCAATCAGTGTTGGCAAGCGGTGGCTACGATTGTTGGAATCTATACAAGGTTAAAAAATCGACTAGTGTTCATATATTTATAGAGAAAGTTATTTAACTTAAAAGTTAATTAATTAAATTATAATTTTTTTTATAAATTACATTTGAAATTAATTTTTTGTATTATTTTGTAGATATGGATAAAAATAGTCATATCAACAAAAAATGATACTATTCATTTGCCACATCAACAAAAATATCAGCTGAGTTGAATAACTTACTTAAGTTAATAGTGCGTGTAATGTACGCTTTTAAATCTATAAAAAAAAATCCTTTAATGTTATAAATCAATAACGTTTAATTTTCATTCGTACAAAATAAAACGTTTAGTCCGAAATTGAACAACTACCTAAACGTTTAATCTTAAATTGAACATTTAGTTAAAAAATTTTACCACAGTCAAGTAGAACTTAAAAAAATGGGGGATTTAAAAAAAAGATATAATAAGAATATTTACATTTTGATCTAATAAAAAAACTACTCAAAAGAAAATTACCAATTTTGAATTTAATAATGAGGAAATAATAATTACTATATTACCTTTATTAATCTTCCCACCTCTCTAACATGAAATTTTTTTTCTCGTAAAAACATAAACCTTTTATATCCATATATCTTTTTTACCTTTTGTCCATCTTTCTTCTTTACTATTCATCCAATTCATTTATTTTGCATCACAATTTTCTTCATTTTTCAATTGTTCTATCTATACAAGATTGAAATTGAAGGGTTTAGGATTTCTATTTTCATCAATTTTTCTCTATTTGAATCGCATCAGCTTATTAAAGTTAGAGTTCCTTTCCTCTGTCTTTTACATCACTCTTCTTTTTGTATATTTGATCTTGTTGTTAAATTATTATTTATGTTGATTCTGCAAATGGATTTAAAAAATATCATGATTTTAATTATTTTATGTTAGATTATTGTCTATATTATTTTCGTTGGTTTTAGATATCTTGTTTAAGGTGGCATTTCTTATATATTGTTTTCAATGGTCTTTTTATGTTTTTAATAGCCTTTTAAAAGAAAAAAAATTACAAATAAAAAAAGATAAAAAATAATAGAAAGGTGAGTGTGCATATTCATCTTGGTTTTTTGATAAAGTTGTTCTTAGTTAATTATATGAATAAATAAAAGGTAGACATTCATACTTGATAAGGTGTAGATTTTGGAGACAAGTGATATGTGCTTTTTGTGATAAGCACATATTGCATTAGAATATGTATATTATGTTTTTGGCATATGTACATTTAGATAGTAGGATTTGTATATATTTCCTTTTGGTTCACGACAACCAATCTCACCATCCTAAATATACCAACCACTCAATTCACAAAAACCCACTCCTACTTCCAACCAAGACTGCATACCCAAATTCCATCATCAATACACCAAATTGCCATAACATCTTTTAGGCTCTACCATGGAAGGCATTTCCACCACCATGAGTCGCCAAACCTATTAGTAAAAAAACCATCACTCATAACTTTTACAACCTCAACCTATTAACTTAAAACATCCTCTAATACCCCAACATAAATAAACCCAACACCATCATTACATTGCAAAAAAAATAAAATAAAATAAAGCTACAATAACAACAGTAAAAAAATATAAAACAACAACAAAAATATCAAAATTCAAAAGTGGTAATGGGTTATAAGTTTAGGTTTATTTTCAATTTTGAAGGAGTTTCATTTTAGGAAGGTCCTTTTTCAAGTTTAGGTTAAAAAATTGAGAAGAAATGCCACTGTCAGTGACGACAATGATGGCAGTTGAAAATATAAGGTGATTTTAGAAAAATTGAAACTGTAGAAAGGAAGAGTAGGAAAAAAATAGTAACATATCTAAGTTTCAGGTGGTTTGGACAATGGCAAAAAAAATTTTAATAGCTTAAAGTTTTGGGTTTCACTCTCAAATCTACGGTTTTGAAGGTTGATTTTGGAAAATTCGATCTTAAAATGGTGATCAAGAAGTTAAGGAAAGCTTGTGGTGAAAATTTGGGGAAAAGTGACGTTGGATGACGACACCGACGATTGAAAATCGCCCTAAAAGAAAGGCTTTTTGGGGGGGGTGAAAACAAAGAAATGAATAGGCAAAAAATGTTGGTTTTAATTGTGATTTTAAGAAAATAAATAAAAAAAAATCATTTCCCATTTTCAACTAACTCAACCCAAACAAAGCTTGACCCAAAAGTCCATCAGATTTGGCCAAACCTTTTGCTTTGATCCACCTAGAGTTTAACCTCAAGAAATTTTTTTAGTGTAATCTCTTCCCATTTTATTTTACTTTGTTATCATACATTTTTAATTTTTATTTAGTATCAAATATTTTTAAAAAAAATTTGTTGTGGATGACTAAGAAAATAGGGTTTTAGAAATAAAAATAGAATAATATTTTCATGTAAAAATATGATTTTAAAAAATCTACCTAAATATTGACGATAATTCAAATAATTATTTTTGCAAAAGAATATTGTCTTAGTTTTAGAAAATATTTATTTGAATTGCTCAAGCGAAATATCAAGTTTTTTTAGTTTTACCTAGATATTGAGGAGTTAGAAAATATAAATGAAAATATTTCTAATACTAAAAATATCATTTCCGTCCTAAATAAAATCTATTTAGAAAAAAATATAATTACATGCATCATTTAGTTCATTTCATATTGTCATATATGCATTTTATGTATTAATAATAAATATGAAATGGTAAAATAACAATTTCAACAAAATTTATTTTAGAAAAAATAGAGTAATAATTTTAAGAAAATGATTTTGAAAATCCTACCTTGATATTAGAGAAAATTTAAATCATTATTTATACTAAAGAATATCATTTTTATTTTTATCAAAATTAATTATAAAAATTTTATATTCATCTCTTTAAATAAAAATCAAATATGATATAAAATAATTATTATCTTATACTATTAATAATTTTATTTGTCAAACATTCCCTACGACGAATGCACGACACAATTACGACCAAAAAGTACCCCACTAGCACCAGGTCATGGCTTCGTTTGGATCCAAATGGGTCTGAATCAATATGAAAGCCATGTTTAGATGGAAAGTTTTAGGGAAAAAAATGTAATTAACTAATTCAACTTTTGTAGTGGCACTTAGGCACCATGTGGTTGCAGTGAATGGCTTAGTGTCACGGAGTAAGCTTTCTCTTAACAAGCAATAGACCGTGCGACACTTGAATGGACGCTCCCACCCAAGTCAGCCTTCAATACATCGATATCTGAATAAATAACCTTAAGCCATGATTAGTCCCAAGCATTCATAATAAGACATAATATATCGAGATCAATCGCAAGCGCACACACAATAAGGCACATTCACATCGAGAAAAAAAAACACATCGAGGCAACATTCGAAACATTCAATCGAGATGAATTTTATTATAATAAAAAATTATACATCGAGACTTCCCACCATCACCAGGGCCAGAGGGCAGCTCTTGATGGATGGCTAAGCCCGCATAGCAACCGGTGAGACAACCCAACATTACGCTGTCGGCTCACCCCTCTAAAAAGCCTTAGAGATTTTAGAGCTATGCTACGACTAACCATTACAATGTTGAAATGAGGACACTTTTCCTAGCACAAGGGATCTACCCGACCATGGCCCTATACATAGGTGGCTCATGACAACCTAAGTCCCGGTCATGACCCTATACAAGGGTAGCTCATGACATCCTCTCCCACCTATTCTATCGACGTCCTCGTCGACTTGCTGGCTTGAAATTCTTCAATCTTCTTTTGAAATCTCTGAAGGTCGTGTTCTTTTTTTCAGCTGATTTCTTCTAGTCCTAATCACTCCCACTTCACTAAGTATTCTTGAACTAGTTTTCAAGATATCTTGGTTTTCCTGTCGGCTAAGATCTCTTCGACTC